AAATTAGGGACGGCTAGCGCAGATAGCCCTCGTGTAGCTTTGCGCGAAATTCCAAAACAAACAAAACTTTTTCTTCATTACCCATTCAAGCCGTCTCCAACCATTATTAAACAAAGGTTTATTCCGACGAGTTATTTATTTTCTTCCACTATTCTGAGTCATCGCCTTCCTATTTTATTAATTTCTACTACATTGTATAATTATTTATCAACATCACATGCAGTTTTATTTCATTTTATTTTTCTTATTTTAATTTACTATACCTTAATATATTAAGTAGTTTGTTAACTTTACTAATAATATTAACTAAGTATATATTCTTACACTTTAGATGTTTGCTTGTTTGTAATTAAGCACAAAGCTACACAATGGGCTATCTGTGCTCTGCCCACCATGGGTATCGAAACCCAGATTCTAGCGTTGTAAGTTCGTAGACATACAGCTGTGCCATTGGGGGGGGGGGCACTTTAGGTGTCATGTAAGGTATAAAAGTTTGGAGACGGCTTGAATGGGTTATAAAGAAAACTTTATTATAAACGTACAACGTTTAGACAAGATTATATCATTGTTTTCTCGAAACGTTGTACATTTGTAATAATGTCTTCTTCATTAATTATTCAAGCCGTCTCTAAACTTTTATTTTCTAATAGGTGGGTTCTCGTCATCAAATCACATAGGGCAAGTTCTAAGAAATGTTTCTAAATCACTCCCCTAGGTGGCGAGGTAACTGCCAATATAAATTTTCATTCAAAGAAATTTCGAGATACGTAACGCACGTGTAATCTCGGAAAAGTAGTGTTATACCATTAAGGTTTGTGTTATTTTTGTTTGTTTTAACTTAAACTTGAGTTTAAATTTATTTCGTGGCTTTATCCACGCTCGGGTTGAAGTTTGGTAAAAAAAAAAGGTCATTTGTGCGAAATTAAGTTGTTTCTGGGTGATTCTGTAAACGATTGTGGTTGTATTTAATTGTATGTAAATTGTATTACTAGTAGTAGTAGTAATAGTAACTCGTATAACAAATTGAAATTATAATTTGTTACAAGTACAACGTTAGTCAGTGAAGCCTTAAGTTATAATATATATATATATATATATATATATATA